CGTATTTCCCACACCCCTCAGAAGCAGTGCAAAGGCTGGAGGAGTCAAGGGTAATGGAGGAGCTGAGGGAGAGGGAAGTAAATTGCTGAGAAAGCGCCTGAGTGTGAACTCGGAGGGTTGTTGGGTATCGATGGGAAAAATATGGAACAGGTTTTTTGGGGGGTCGGGGAGGGATTGTTAGGGAGCTTCCCCCATGCAGACCCTGGCTGACCCCTAGCCTCTCCCATTCAGTCAGGCACATCTGCCCCTGTACCCATGTGTCCCTCCACCCCACTCAGATACCCACTCCCCTCATCCTTATGTGGCTCTGTACCCCCTCCCCCATCCCCATGTGTGTCTGTGCCCCCACCTAGTCTCTCCCTACATGTCCCTGTACCCCCTCCCCCTGTCCCTGTGTGTCTCTGCACCTCCCTTCCCCCCGTGGCCCTGTGCCTCCACTCCCATTCAGCCCCTGCCCCAGTCTGCCCTACCCCACTAGCCCTTATGAGCCCCTGTCTGGCCCTCCCCAGCACCCCATGATGTCTGTCCCCCCATAGCCCGTCTCCTGACCTGGTCTGCTGTGAAGAAAGCACTGTAGGCTCTCTTTTCCCTTGCTGGCAGGGAGTTGCTGCTCCGTTCTATCGCCACAGTGCCCTCTGGTGGACAAGAGGCGGAACTGCAGCAACATTTCAGCAGCAGCTTTTTTTTTTTTGCGCAAAAAAATAAAAATCTGTGGGGCTCATTAATTAAGTGCACGCGCAGTAGCGCAAAATTCCCCCAGAAGTAATGTTTAAAACATGTGTAATTATACATTGATTTCATCTGCGTGGACTGCAAATTTCTGGATGGGAGGCGAGTGGAAGCCCAGCGGCCAGAAGCGTATGAGAAAAGGGAGGTAACTGGGTGAGCTGGAGAGCAACAGAAGTCCACTGGGCAAGGCAGTACCTAATTTAAATATGAACTGTATTCTTTTCTGTCATCTGCTGGAGCGCAAGGGAAGTTGACTGACCAAGGAAGTAATTCACTTACATATTAGCTGTGGCTAATTTGAAGACACTGGCATATAATTCGCCTACATTATGTACTTGGAGCCAAAATTTTGGAGATTAACCTGTTGAGAACCACCTGGGCAAAACCTGGGTTTGGGGTCACACTGGTGAAGACTGATGTTTGCCAGGCCTGGGTACGAGGCCCTAGGTAAAACCTGAGTTCGAGGGGAGAGAGACTGCACATTCCTGGCTTGTTAGTGGAAATATTCCTCCGGGCAGTAGGTATTCTACTGTGTCCCTTAGAATTAGATCACTGATCCCTTTGCTCCTAAAACAGATGAGCTGAGAGCTGCAGTTGCCTTACGTAGAGAGAGCTCAACAATGGTTGCAGTAATCTGGCCTGGGGCAAGTAGAAGACAGAGTCCAGTCGCAGTTCCAGTCACCTGGCCAGCAGTGAGTAAAGTGGCAGCTTGGCCCACCAACAGCCTCCAGCAGGAAAAACCAGACAGAGCAGTTGTGAGGACTATAGTAAAGCAGAGGAGTTTCCAGTCTACACCGGCCTAAAGATTCTGGTGAGATCTCCTTGTCCTAGCTGCTGAAATTATTACAGCACGAAAGGTGGTAAAGACCCAAAGCTGCCCAAGAAACAGGGACCTTGATTTTCCTGTAACTCCTGGACCCTTGAACTATGAATGGGGAAGTTGGGAGGCAGGAAAACTGCACCAGCCACTCAGGGCTCAATCATAAGCACCGAGTTTCTAATCTGCCAGGGGGTGCTCCCCTCGGCTCCATCCAGGCCCTGCTCCCACTCCATCCTTTCCCCCAATACCCCACCTTCACCCTGCTTCTTCCCATCCCCGCTCAGCCCCTGCCCCACCTCTTCCCGTCCCGCCTCCTCCCTGCCCAGTTCCAACCCCTCCCCTGACATGCTGCGCCCTTGCTCCTCCCCGCACAGCACCTCCTGACACTGCAAAACATTGGGAGGAGGGGGATGTGCTGATCAGCGGGGCCCACCGGGGGCGTAGGAGGCACTGTGGGGAGGGAGAGCCGTTGATAGGGGGCTGCCAGTGGGTGCTCAGCACCCACCATTTTTTTCCCCATGGGTGCTCCAGCCCCAGAGCACCCACGGAGTCGGCGCCAACAGGCTCCATTATTCAGGACTGTGATTTATGCACACCGAAGTAGCAGGTGTTAATTGCAATGTTTGTCCCAGTTCACCCTGACCTTTTCCTTTCTTTCCCCCAATAGAGTTCCTTTCTTTAAACCTCTCTTGAATGTGCTTCGAGCAGGTACAGATCTGCCTATCAAAGATGCCCAGCATGGTTCCCAGGTCACTGGGTGGGGGCTCAAGCCATAGTTAAGCCAACTGTAGAGAACCCCCTAGTAAGAAAGACCAGTCCTTGTTGCTCCCGACACCATTGGCGGAAGGATTACAGGCACTATTAATTTTCTTAAAATCCATTTTCCTAGACTCAGAATCCAAGAATGTGTGTCATAAATATTTCGCTTTGGTCTTCTGTTATGCCATAGCAAATCAATGAGCAAAAGCAGTAAGAGCAAGTTTTGTTTCATACCTTTGTATTTACAGCAATAATAGGTTTGGCATGAGAACGATACCAGTTCTTTTTCAGCAGCTTCCCAAGAACTTGGTGACTGAGCACTGCTTCAAGACACTAAGGACACCAACCTGAAGACGACACCCAGAATCACCTTCATAACAGACTGTAAAGAACTCCAGCCCATTAGAGCCTCTTATTTGAGGCCACAAATATGCTGTAATTTGATGAGATTCAATCAAACAAAAAACTCTAGCTCTTAACACCCACAAACATTAGGAGAATAAAGGAGGACTCAAAGACTATCTAAATTTTGTGCTTTGAGCTTATATCTAACTTGAAGTACCAGATACTCCCCATACACCTCAAAATTTACCCCCCACTTTTCACACGCTCCAATATCCTGGCCATAAAAAAAGATATGAATACCAAATAGTGCATTTATTAAAGATAGCATACTATAAAGAACACTTCACCGCATTTTAATACCATGCAAATCACTGATCTTAAGGGTAGTACATAAAATGGAAGTTACTGGAAATATTAAAACATACTATATGTTAATTCACAAATTATTTTCCAATAGTGAACCACCAATAGGAAGTGTTCCTAAAAGGATTCTGTGATAGGAGGCCTGGAGGACTTGTGGCCCTGTATCACCCCCACCCTAGGAAAGAGCAATATAGACATCTCCAAGCTGCCCACAGCGGCTGTGTGGGACACAGCCAACGAGAGGGGTTGCAGGGACCAGCCAGTCAGGGCCCAGAAGGCTCATATAAAAAGGAGCTGAAAGGGCTGGATAGATCAGTCTGCTTGCAGGGACCGGGGGAGCTAGAGGTGCTCCTGGCTGGCTGCAGGGGCTAAGGCAGGTAGTTGCTGGCAGGGAGCGGGAAAGCGAGGGTATAGTTTCTGGATGGCTACCAAGACTCAATTAAGATGGGCTACGGGGAAGTGGCCCAGGGAAATGTAATTAGTTAAAGGGACATGGCATGTGGCTGCTACTTAGAGGGCTGGGACCTGGAGTAGTGGGTGGGCCAGGGTCCCTCCCCCCACTCCAAACAGCCATTGGGGAAGTGGCTTTGCCCTGAGAGAAGAGAGTTTAGACAGGCCCAGGGAAGGGACTGTACGTGGACCTGTTACGGTCCCCCTGGAAGGGGGCTGAACTGAGACTGACCCAGCTGGAGAGCTGGGGTCACAGAATTAAAGGGCAGGTGAAGAGCCTCCAGGGATGAAGCCCTGGGGGGTCTGTTCCATCCCAGAGCAGGAACCTTCACACATAAACTGACCAACGAGGGTATTGAGATAGGACCTGTTGGTCAGACTGAGGACCAGAGCCCGGGGAGAGCTAAAGAGACATTGCCAACAGAGGGGTACCGTGATGGGCCCAGTCGGATTGTTAAAGGACTGAGCCCGGGGAGGCTGTAGGACTTTTTGGACTTATACCCCAGAAGGAGTTTGTTTGTTTGCAAACAGATTGTGTGTGTGAGACTTAGTGGGAGGGCTGAGTCACCAAAGACCCACCTGACAAGCGCAGCAACTGACAGGGGTCACTGTGAGCCTAGAAATTGAGAAATTGCAGGCACGCACACACTCGACCGGGGGCACTTGTGAGAGGTGGGTGCCACCCCATTACAGATTCACTATCATGGTTAAGCCTTTCTTTGCTCCTTCTACAATAGCCTGCAGGCCAGTGTGACAGTCTGTATGAGAATACACCGGTTCACAATCAAAAATGTAAATAATGAATCTTTATTTACTATTTTCACTATGAAAAGTTTCTCCGTTACAGAAGGATGTTTGTTTTTATTACGTTTTATGCACTTTTCAGGTACAGAGTTTCTCCATATTTGAAGATGGCCTGAACATTTTCAATATTCTTTTGAATGGGTACATGAAAAGTTAACTCCATAGTCTGCCTCACATAGCATGTCCAGTAAAGGTATTTGTTCTGCTACTTAGCATTTTACTAGTGTTTCCACATGTGCTTAACATACATTTCTCTACGTTTTTACAACTCCATTATACTATTAGACCTTTAGAGTGGTGCCTTGTAGTCTCACAATTAAGTCCTTACAATTCAGTTACATTTTAAGAAGCAACTTGATAAAAAAAAATATCACTGGGAGGTACTAAGCTTATCGTCTCAATTACTTTCACATCACAGGTACTCCGTTTATAAAGAAGATGGATTTTTCCAACTATCAGCTCTGCAAATGGCTAGCTGGTTTATTGCTAGCTCATGTATCATCACCAAAAGATTCTGGAATTAGCAGTTAACTAACAATACTGCTGAGTAAGAAGGTGCCATTTTACATGGTGACTAATCTAAGCATAACTGTACTTTAACATTACTAGTACAGCAGCTATAAGTAAACAGAAAATAAGCATTACACAAGATCACTGACAGAACATGAGGATATATACATTTCAATATGAGACTACTATAGCTTTGACTAAGAAGAATTTGTTTACTTACCTATGTTTATTTTATTTGATTTTCCACTTTTTTCAGACTCCTGTTTTAAGAAAAGAAAAAACCATGAGGATGCCGACAAAAATCCTAATGTTTGCATACAGATATCTAAATAATGAAGTGCTCATCAGGTTCTATCTGAATTCTTAGCATGTTTTAACACACTCCAGGATAAAAAAACCTAACAAAAGGTCTTTCAACCCTCAGGGACAGCTATTTAATATAATAAGGACATTTTCTACATGGTCATACAATGACTGAAGCAAGGTATTTGCATATTTAAAGAATTACTGAAAAGCATTATATAATGCTTATTTCTTACAAATCTAATTATAAAGGAATTTGTTATTACTGTAAGCATTTTACTTTTTTTTTTTAATGTCCTTTGTGGATACCAATTGTGACTAAACATATAAAAAGGTACAAAATACAGAAAAAAATCATAGCAAATTCAGGAACACCTCATTCATATGTGATCCGCTACCACATGTCTATTGAGATAAACAAGGTGGATGAGGTAATACCTTTTATTGGACCAATTTCTGTTGGTGAGAGAGAGAAGCTTTCAAGCCACAGAGCCCTTTTTCAGGTCTGGGAAAGGTACTTCCAGCATCACAGCATAACGCAAGGTGGAACAGAGGGTTTAGCTTAAATAGTTAGCCCATATTGTAAGGGAACATTCAAGGTAAAGTGGTCGGTTAACACCTCTGCCGTCATAGGACGAAAAGGGGTTTAGTGGATTACAGATTGTTGTAATAACCCATAAATTAAGTGTCTCTGTTCAGTGAATGATTTTTAGGGTCTATCAGAGTAATGAATTTAAGCTCCCAGGCTCGTCTTTTGAAAGCGTTGTGTAAATTTCCTTTGAGGATGAGGATTGATAGGTCAGATAGTGATCGCTCTGTGAAAAAACAATGAGGAGTCCTTGTGGCACGTTAGAGGCTAACAAATTTATTTGGGCATAAACTTTCGTGGGATATAATCCACTTCATTAGGTGCATGGAGTGGAAAATATAGTAAGCAGGTATAAATATACAGCACATGACAAGATAGGAGTTACCTTACCAAGTCGGGGGTCAGTGCTAACGAGGCCAATTCAATTAGGGTGGAAGTGGCCCATTCCCAACAGTTGACAAGAAGGGGTGAATATCAACAGAGGGAAAATTATTTTTTGTAGTGACCCAGCCACTCCCAGTCTTTATTCAGGCTTAATTTGATGGTGTCAAGTTTGCAAATTAATTCCAGTTCTGCAGTTTCTTGTTGAAGTCTGTTTTTGAAGGTTTTTTTGTTGAAGAATAGCGACTTTTAAGTCTGTTATTGAGTGTCCAGGGAGATTGAAGTGCTCTCCTACTGGTTTTTGAATGTTACAATTCTTGATGGCTGATTTGTGTCTGTGATGTTCCCCTCTGGTGTTATCTGGACCAGTGATCTGCTAGGCCTCTCCAATCCTTGGCTCTGGGAGCCAGCCTTACCCTGCTCTGCTGTGAGAACCCCCACTCCTAGGCTGTTCATGCACAGCCTCTGGCATGTAAGCTGCTCCCAGCTACTTGCAAGCGAATGACACTAGCCAATATCTCTGGTCCCAGAAACAACCCTAGGAACCTCCGTCTTGCAGTGTCCGGTTATGCCCACTGGATGCTGCAAACTTATATAAGTTAGTCAATTTAACAAAGAAATTGATATGTACCAGGCTTGTTATTCCAAGGGGAGCCTCTGACACACTTCAAACCAAACGCACTGCTTCAGGTAGAATAAACAAACAAATTTATTAACTATAAAGACAGATCTTAAGTGATTATAAGTCAAAGCATAACAAGTCAGATTTGGTCAATGAAATAAAAGCAAAAGGTATTCTAAGCTGATCTTAACACTTTCAATGTCCTTACAATCTTAGGTGTTTCTCACCACAGGCTGGCTGGTTACTTTTCAGTCAGGCTCTCCCCTTTGATCAGAGCTTCAGTCGCTTGGTGGCGGTGGTGTCTGTAGATTTAGGTGGAAGAGAGAGAGCATGGCAAAATGTCTCTCCCTTTTATCATGTCCTTTCTTTCCTCTTGGCTTTGCCCCCTCCCCCCTGCTTCAGAGTCAGGTGAGCATTACCTCATCAGAGTCCCAAACTGCCAAAAGGAAGGGGGTGACTCCCTTGAGGGTCTAACAGATTCTTTTGTTGCTGCCTAACCCAGTGTCCATTGTTCCTGTGAGGCTGGGCTGGGTTTGTCCCATCCATGCCCTGACAAGGTGTGAACTGCCTCTCTGCTCTTGGCGAGTTTTTGCATGGGCTTGCTTTAAGACATGAGGATACATTTTCAGCCTCATAACTATATACATGAAATTATAACCTATAACCTTACTATAACATTACTGTAACAATTACTATAACAACCATGCTCAGTGCATTATGAGCCTTCTGAAGACACCCAACATGACAAACTTTGCATTGGATACCACACAATCATTTTATAAAGATGAACATGAGGGTGTAGGGTGTTCCCCCGAGGTACAGAGCATCACACCTCCCCTCTTAGTTTGCTGCAAGAGGGTTAGTCACTGACTAGCTCAAAGGCAGTTTGTTATAGTTCTCTTGGCATCCAGCCATTAAGGCCATGAGGCAGCGTGCCTCAGTTTCCCCATTCACACACAGCAAACCAGGGGTTTTGGTTTTTTTATGGTTTCTCTGCTGTGATAAGCTTTAAACTTGTTTACAGGTATTAATTGAAAAGTAGCATTATCATAAGGTTTAACATCCATGTCAAAATTCTTATCCCCAAAACTTAACATCAGTTAGTGTAGTTTCAGGTTAGTTTGTTCATTACCCATGGTGTCCTTTGACTCTCTCCCATGTAATCAGTCACTGGCTTCTCTTTCCCTCCAGTGCTTCCCTTTGTGTGGGCTCTTAATTCAATCATGTTTCTGGCATTTTGATATCTCAGGGTCTGGCAAGATAAGGGTCCAGAAGGATCCTGCACATTGGCTGGCCCTTTGGGGAGCGGTCTCCCAACCCCAGGACTGTACATATGTAGGATATCCAACTCCCCTTTTGGGATTACCCTGTGTTTCCCCCAGCAGCACTGAGTCCTTCCCTGCCCCCTAGAGGGCTGTGATCTGTGCTCTCTGAGCTAGGTGTATTTACCCTTTGATCAGATTCATCCTTTCCCAGCAGCTTTCCCATAACTGCTCTCTCTGGGGGAAAGCACCCACCCCCCTCTGTGAGTTGGGTCGTTTGTATTCTGGCAGACTACCACCTGGCAATTTCCTGGTCTCAACTCCTCTGATGTTACAGGCATTGGAGCTGCATCTTGATGTAAAGAGAGACAGTTACTTTCCAAAAACTTATCAGGAATAGCACCCTGAAAAATTGGGACCTGGATAGAGGTACCCTCCATCAACCCTTTCTCTGTCCCAGAGAAGTCAGCTGTGTGACTGCTCCCCTCCAGGAGGTCAGTTACACAGTTCCTTCTCAAAACCTGGGTCACAAGCTGAGTGCCTGGGTGCACAGATGCTGACCCAGCCATCCTGCTTGTGTCCTGGGTATCCTGCCCCAAGTGACTAGTGAGGAGACATTCCTTCCCCAGTTTCCTTCTCTGAGCCCCCTCCTTCAGCTGCAGAACTCTGCCAGCTAACAACTGGGACAGTTTCTTTAATCACTGACAACACCTCTCCTGCCCCTGCGCCTGAGGGCATGTTGCCTTCTGCTGGAAAGGAGCTAGTCTCAGCCCCTCCCATACTTGGAAGCACCCTGCTTCCCTGTGTTACAGAGTCACAGGAATCCTCACCCACCTCAGTGGTTTCTGAGATCCCCTGCCCCTTTTCTGGGCTCTCCTCTGGGACACATTTCTCTAAGCTCCTGTCATAAACATAGAGAGAAGGATAGCATAAAATCCCTCCTTGGCAGCTATACTGAATCGCCTTACCTGTAAGGGGTTAAGTAGTTCAAATAACCTAGTTGGCACCTGACCAGAAGGACCAATGAGAAAAGAAGATGCTTTCAAATCTGGGGGGCGGGGGGGGAAGGTTTTGTTTGGGCTCTCTCTTTGTTGTTCCCTCTCCAGACAGAGGGAGAGACCAAGCAGGTGCAACATGTCTTGAAAATATACCTGGAATAATAGATCTAAAAATCACAGAAATTGTAAATAGGGCAAGGAAATGTGTTAGGTTATCTTTTGTTTTGACTTGTAAATTTTTCTATGCTACAGAGGTAGTTTTATTCCTGTTTTTGTACTGTGAAGCTGAGCCCAGGGGGGAATCCTCTGTGTTTTAAATCTTATTACCCTGTAAAGTTACCTTCCATCCTGATTTTGCAAGTGTGATTCTTTTTCTTTATAAATAAAGTTCTTCTTTTAAGAACCTGATTGATTTCAGTGTCCTGAAGACAAAGAGTCTGGTCTTTGCTTACATTGCTAAGGCAATTGGTTGGTATATTATTCTCAAGCCTCCCCAGGAAAGGGGGTGAAGGGGCTTGGGGGGGGGGGATAGGGATTCCAAGTAACCCTTCCCTGAATTTTTGTGTAAATCACTTGGTGGTGGTAGCAATACCGTCCAAGGACAAGGAAAGGAAAGGAATTTGTGCCTTGGGGAAGTTTTAACCTAAGCTGGTAGAATATAAGCTTAGGGGGTCTTTCATGCAGGTCTCCACATCTACACCCCAGAGTTCAGAGTGTGGGGGGGAACCCTGACAGCTCCCTAGAGCCGGCTTTGCCTCTGGTTCAACTGCGACCTGCTGGCAGCTAACAACCTGAACAATTCTCTCCATGGCAGGCATTACATCCCCATCCCTTCCTGATGTGGTGTTGCCTCCTGCTGCAGTGCAGGAGTTGGTCTCAACCACCCTCCCACTTGGAAGCACACTGCTTCCCTGTGTTACAGAGTCACAAGAATCCTCACCCACCTCAGTGGTTTCTGAGATCCCCTGCCCCTTCTCTGGACTCTCCTCTGGGACACATTGCTCTCTGCTCCCCAGAGCCAAATTCATCTCTGATTCAGCTGCAACCTGCTGGCAGCTAACAACCTGGACAGTTCTCTCCCTGGCAGGCATTACACCCCCATCCC